GGTTTTTTTTAAAACTCAGTAATACTTTGTCCGACCCGGGAATCGTACCCGAGACCCTTTGCTAGTATAAATAGTTTCTCAAATAGGACCAGTAGTTCACCTCTGCCTACCCTTCAGGGATAAAAAGGAGTGATGTTATGTCTTTAAAACTGGCAGAGATAATCTGAACTGAAACTTTACGATAACTAAAATTAAATAATATTTTAGTCGATAATCGTAATAATAAAACCTTTTTCTACCATTTATGCTATTGAAAAAATAATAGAGGAACTTCTAGTGTCCCTATATTGATACCCCCTGTAGGCCATAATAAAACAGCCTGGTCATGTACTTACAGTCGCCAGCCCATCAATCTACTCTTATTTAAAGGTGTAGGAAAGCCATGCTTCGGCACGAATGGGCCGGCTCATCCGGAGTGAATCCACGACCTCACAGAAAATCGACGTGAAACAACGCTTTTTTTTGAGAGGAAAAATTATCCATTGACTTCTCCCGTCCAGGTGTAGCGAGAGAGAGTGTCAGACTCTAACTGACTAAAAACCACCGCGTTCCTACTCCCGCAATTTGAGCCGGAGCCCCGGTAGCCCGTTAAGTCCTCTGCGGGTACATATCGGGTAAAACAATGCTTGCGTTGGGTTTCGCCTCAGGTGTTTCGGGTGTCCTTGGGCGGCGGCGATTGCTTACCATCTGGTGAGCCGTCTGCTTCTTTACCGACTTACCGACTTACCCCATAAAACTGTCAATCTTTTTCATTGGATATTCGACTTTATATTTGAACGATAGAGTTGATAAATTTAATAGAGAAATTTTACAATTTGAAAATAGTAGGTTGATGTCCACTGTACTATACATTAATTTAGCAAATAATTTGATTTGTTTTGGGGATGAGGTTATTGCCATACACAGGGTACAATATTCTATCAAACGAAAGAGTTATAAAATAAAAACGATAGTATAAAACGTAACGGAAACTTAAATTGTATAACCTATCAGTATTCGGACAACAATCCGTTAGACACTTTTGCTAGAATAAATATAAAGGCCGGCAACGCACCTGTGACTCCTCTGGTGTTGCGGGTGTCCATGGGCGGCGATGATCGCTTACCATCAGGTGATCTGTCTGCTTGTTTGCCTTCTATTCCATAAAAAAAAAGAATGAGCTACAAATACAAGTAATATTTCATGATCTACATTATGATATTAACATCTGCTTTATTCTTTGTTCTAGTTCTTAAAATTATATGAGACAAAGGGATAATTATAAGATCACCATTCTTTGCTTTTGCTATCAAAATCAACAATTATAATGTTAATTAAATACATTATGTATGGAAAAGCTTATTAAATGTGTATTTTTTATTTCTCTCTACTTAAAAACTTGAAGAACAAAAGTGAAAATAAAATATATCTGTCACTCTCCTCCATTTACAGGCGTGAAAATATAACAATACTAATGTTAGTTAATCGTAATATAATTATGTTATAACTACTGAACTAAGATAATATAGGCCATTTGTTACACTACTTGAAATATTTGAAGCTTTGTCCGAATTTCGCTAGATGGCGTTACGTGCTCCTATGCTACAGTTCCCACCCAGCACCCACTTACTTCGTAAGTTATTAGTTCTACTACAGCAGTTTATAAATTAGTTATTGTAGTAGTATAATCATTATGTATTATGTATTCAACGAAGATTCTACCTTTTTGATAATTACTGTGGTTATAAGTAATTGATAAATTCGAATTGTTATTATCGAATGCCTTCTTAAATCATGAAACTTATGTAACGACATTATTTAGACATGCTGTTGCAAATTAAATACCTATATTATTATAAATGTTTAATACATAACAACACATTCTTTCATTCTATCGGAATATACGCATCTGAACATTATTAACGAGTGCTCTCAGGAACAATAATTTTAATTTAGGTTACCTAAATATTATTGGGAATTTTTGAGTTTGGCAAAAAAACTCAGTGAAACGGGACTACAATTGCACCTCGTGTGTGGTAACAGTCTCACTTCCAATCACATGGAATTTGGAAAATAACCAGTGTAAACTGGATATTACAATGACATTGCACAATATGCAACACTTATGCATCTTTACATACTCCTCTATAGATTAAATGATGTTTTATACTTACCTACGTATTATGTTCCATATTTAAATTAGATCGATATACGTTACATACGTTGGTATATTTTTCCTTTGCACACATCTCCGACTCGCACTTGACTGGTTTTATTTCCTTTCTCTCATTGAAATTCGCAACGAACAAGATTGTCTGATTGTATCTTGTTTGTTTTCTACATTATAATATTAATAAAGTACCTTGTATTTATTTGTATATATTATTATTGAATTTGGTGTGAGCGTCGAGCGGTTAGAAGTACGATATCCGAAAGTAAGGTCTTAAGCTGGATTCCATTAAAGGACTGTTGTTTCTCCTATACTGCCACGGTCTTCTATATCGAAATTAAAAAAAAAATATGTCGATGCTTGAGTATTTTTGGCCTAGTGTTTGGTAATAATAAGCTGTCTAATACAATGGGACTTTGAGACATATCTGGTAGAAGTGTAATTATTATGAGCCTCAAGCGTGGCTTGAAACTAGTCGAGTTCCTCGTCAAACTTTTACGTGAGTAAGCCGAAAATATAACAATTAGTACCTATGTCTAACGAAAGTTTAAACGAAGAACTTAAAGAAAAGAAAGAAAGAAATAAACGAAGACCATGTATCATGTAAACATATCATTACCAATATCTAGATATCTTTAGGCTTTAACATAACATATAGCGAGGCTCAAGGGAGACCTAAATCTCCCTAGCGACGAGCCATAATAGGCGTTGCACATTGGGCTTAGGAGCTGATTTATTAACAGGACTCACTTATAAGTATTGACAGCGCCTATCATGGTGGTTTTAGTGCAGTCAGAACCCCACACTCCCCAGTCTTTCTCTTCAATAGTGATAAGCCTTTGGAAGGTTCTTCAATGACAGAAAAAAAATCATAAAAAGGTTACATATCATATTTATGCCTGTATTTAACATGATGTCGTATATGGCTCACTCCTCACTCCTCACTCCCTATTACATGGGATTTAAAACATAAATAGTGAAAAGTGGGTGATACATTGTACAGTGGCATAATGTGCACCTCTGCCTACCCCTTCGGGGATAAAAGGTGTGATGTTGCGTCGTATATGAAATATCAGTATCCTGTAGTTATTTATTTGTCTACATTAAAAGTACTTCTACGAAATTATCGTTTTACTCCGTCATGCGCTATAGATGTACAAATCTCGGAACTCTTTATGCAATGCCTAACCGCAGAATAGGGTAGATGCCTCATTTTTATTTTAATGTCCATCTGGTAGATTATTTTGAATCATTAGACATGGATTTTTCTATTTTCTTACGGAATCAAATACTTTCGACGATATATTGATTTGAAATGTCGCGTGACGTCACTTCTATGTACATTTTATACGTAAAAATGACGTTTTAGCCCCCACTCGTAAACTTTGATTCGTTTTATTCAAGTATTGTTTTATTATATGACAAAATAAAAAAATATGTCATCATCATCATCAACAGCCTATAAATGCCCACTGTTGAGCAAAGCCTCTTCTCACGCGGAGAAGGTTAGAGCATTAATCACCACGCTTGCTCAATGCGGGTTGGTCCAGGTTTCCTCACGATGTTTTTCCTTCACCGTTTGTCAGTGGTGTCTAAATAATCTTAGAAAGTACATATAACTCGGAAAAAGTCACATTGGTACTTGCCGTTGGTATAAAATATGTATCTAATATTTTTTAATTACCTAACTGACGGAATAATTCGATTTTTAATTTTCATACCCTGTCATCATCCCAATTGTCTGATTTTTCCATAATTTGTATTATTTATACATACATACTAAGAATACTGAAACAAAATCTCTTCAGTATCTGGGTGTCTTTTGAAACCCCTAGGATTTCTCCTGTCTTAATTGCATTTACAAACAGACATCTCATATACACCTTACGTCCTGACCGAAGAGTATATAATAATTATAGTGGTCCTGACCTACAATAATTTATGGATCACTAAGATTTTATTTTGTAAGGGAATCGGACCCATACGACATAGGACCCGTAGTAGTTTCCCAGTAGCCAGGGTATCAAACGTGCAGCACATTTGAATAATGTGTTTTGTTTCATCATGCAATTTTTTTTTCTACGATATTGTTAAAGAAGATAGGTACTTGTGTATTCCTTGTCATTATTACTGCTATCGGTAACAATAAAGCTTACAGGCTACCTAACGCTATGGTAGACACTTACCATTAGGGGAATGGTAAGTGTCTACCATAGCGTTACCATATCATAGTTTAAAAACATAAGAGATATTACAAACACGTTGCCGGTTGTGGAAGGATACTGATAAATTGCATCATATCCTTTACTGTTTTTGTTTATTCCCACAGTCTCCTCAATCTCCGAATCCCATACAATCTTCAAATTCCCAATTCCCAAAAGACCGGTAACGCACTTGTAACGCCTCTGGTGTTCCAAGTGTCCATGGGCGACGCCGATTGCTTACCATCAGGTGATCCACCTGCTCGTTCACCGGATTATCCCATAAAAATGCCAGTTTTGCATAGATATTCAAATGTATTCTTTCAATGAAGCACGTGTCAAGCTTAAAGGCAATGTTTGAAAAATAAAATGACAAAATTACAGTTTAATATTTAATATTTATTTATTGACCATCTCTTAGCTTAAGACAGGAAACATTTATAAAATAGCAGCTAGTCACAATAATAAAATTATGATAACATTTACAAAACGTTCTCTTATATTTACTATTTCACAAACGAGTACAATACTTCGCCTCAAAGAACATTGCTTTTAAATATATCATGTATTGTAAGATACCAAATTTAGATACCAGTAACTTAAAGTTAGCGTATCGATGTGTAAAAGAAATTGTAATATGAATTAATTATGAATTAAAAGCAATAATGATGTCATTGGGGAAGACCTACGTTCAACAGTAGACGATGATGGTGATGATAAAAAGAAAGAACAGGAAAACTGTCCAAAAATTGACTTAAGATAGGAAGAAATTATTATAATACTTAGTTACATTTAAGAGGTAATTATCGGCGTTTGTATTCGAGAATGTGTGAGCTTGATTTCTAAATAATCTTTAGGATTCGGATCATATGGTTTTGTGTACTAATGTTTGAGTTTGTACGTCAGAATATTGGTATTACTCATATCTATTTCCAATTCGTGAACAACTGTTACATCAACCCTTTCTTCCCGTCACATCCAGCCGCTGAGCTCGCTGTGTCTCCCACTAATTTCATTACATTTCTATTTATAACCTGATTAATACCCAAATGAATTCGTCTGTCTGTACGTACTTGTTCATTCTTTGTAGTTTCGTATTTTAGGTCTGACCGATGACTCAATCATTTCAACTGATCCACTGACTCACCAATGCCTGATATTGAAAAACAACTGGGGAATCTATTATTGTAATATGCAGGAGTGCCAAGTAAATAAAATTCCAAATAAGCTCAACTATTTAGTTTATTTAAATCTCAACCTCACACGGTACCAATAAAATTATTCAATTGCTTTGGAGTATTATCGACACAATATTACAATTTCTTTCAACACATTCATCTCGATACATTCTTTGTCTCGCTCACTACCGTGGAGCGCGAGTGAAACAAACGAGTTTGATTCAATAATGTGATAGTCTGCAACATCCTTTTCTTTTTCTTACATTTTCCGATCAACACGATTGAATGACTAAAGCTAGAGGCTCGGTATTAAATTATTTATTTTCTAAGAATCTCACATCGTCCAAGGAGTCGTCACGTTTCAACAAGTAATAGTACCAGTACAATCATTCTCCTTACGGCGCGTTGCCATTAATGACAAGCAGATAGGAATGTTAGAAAGCACGATCAAAACAATTCTTGGTCACTTGATACGTTAGAAAATAAAAACCCGTTATAGGACAATAGACTTCATTGATACAAAACTTGCTTCACATTTATCAACTTCTTACATGACAACTCGCAGTTCGATTACTGAATTCTGTGCGCTCACACACGTGACCGCTTACAGTATTTTGAAAAATCTACTTATCTGTAAATATGTGCGTTTTATCTTCAATTAATAAAGTACATTTTGCTTGCAAATTTTAACAACTAGTGACCGAAATGTATTAGAACACTAATCATCATTTTTGTATGAATTTCATTTTGTAGACATATTATCATCTTATCATTATCCCCTAATAAGGGCAACAGCTAAGTGTACAAGCGTCTAACTTTATAAATTTTATAATACAATAATGATTATTCAACATTACATACAACATACCAAATGATCAAAACAAAATCATCTACTCGTCACAAATTGTGATCGAAACTCTAAATGCGATCCTACCGTCGGGTAAACGACATTCAAAATTCGGTTAATCCGTATAAAATGGCCGATATAGAAAAGGAATTAATTTTTTAAGCTTTTTTACAAGCACAATATCCAAACAAGTCGGTTGGGAAACTAGCACAAATACGACACACAGGCTAGGCTAATATCACAGGAGTGCTGGGAACGGTGCAGAGACCCACACCACGGCCGGCGCCCACCGCGCCCCCGCCCGCGCCGCGCCGCGCCCCCGCGCGCCCCCCACCTATTTACTATTCAGAGGGGGCGAAACGGGCTACTAGCGATATATTTTGCGACAATTAAGATTTCAAAAGAAAAGGAACTCGCTTGTTCCATGGATCAATTGCACAATCGAACGATTGATTGCTTTCAATCTTATTGCACAACCGCATGATAAGTAACCCTTTTTATTACACACAATCCCCCAACTTACGAACGTTGTTTAAAATTGACTAACACTTGTTGCAAGTCTGATATTGAAATTATTTAAAGGTATATTACCAACGTTCGTAAGAGGAAAATAAAGTTTGTACAAAATAAATTAACAATGTCACGATAGTTCTCTAAGACTCAGATACAACCCAATTAAATATCATAATAATGGTAACAAAGCTTTAAATGGTCATAATAAGCAATAGGGTAACATTTAAATGTACAAAACAAAAAAAACGTTTAAATAAAACTTAAAACGATAAAGTAAAACAAAACTCGTTCAAAGTAACTCTCGGACTTGTTAGCAAAATGTGAGCGCGTGCAAACGTTGGCTGTTGGCCGCCAATGTTGGGCGAACGTTAGTGTCCTCTACGTCGACACGCGCCACATTTGATAAGGAAACTAAAATGCCATCGAGTTACTGATGACACACACACACATACGTCACAAATTTTCCTTTATCATCTTACTGACTATTAGTTTTGTTAGCAATTATACTCAAATTGAAAAATATTCCATTAGGACTTGTTTCCAAGCTGCCAACATTATCATCCTTATTATTCCAATCACAGACGTGTATGTGTGCATCGAGAACTGTTTTCACTCTATTCAGTTACGTGTAACCGATCTCACAAAGGCAGCACAAAATAATACTATTCGAATAAAACTAAGTAAGCGTGGAAGTTTTGTTACCGCTCATCTACGCAACCGTTCCCAGTCGTTTTGCACTATCTCTTAATCACTATTTACTTTACAGTACAATAATATAACATAATAATTATCACTTAAAACTATGCCTCCGTTATGAACCGTTAAACTTGCACTACAAGTGAGGGCAGTGCGCCGCCTCACTGTAGCGACAACACACATTCAGAGTCCTCTGTTCGATAAAAATTAATCGTTGAACACTAATTGGACCGCGCCCGTCGGCAGCGCCTGAGCAACTTTCACTAAATAATAAAAAACACGCTAACAAAGTAAGTACTCTTCTTAAACAACAAAGAATTGGCTAAACGTCGACAGTCCGTTCCGGGTAACGTAAACTATAAACACGAATCAATAGTCCAGTGATTCTTGAGCCACAGTGGTGAACCGCCGCGGGCTCGGGCCGGAGCGCCGTCTCCGGCAGCCGAGCGTCTGGACGCGCGCGGCACGCAGCCTGCGACTCGCATCAGGAGCACGCGAACACAGGGTTCGCTTACAGTGAGGTGTGGAGGTGCGCAGGACGGCGCGGTCATGAGTCCAGAACGGTTAAAAGCCCAGGAGGCAGCAGGGGCACGTCTTGTCGTGGCATCTGTCGCGCTAACTGTGCACAGCCAAGGTTGGCGTCGCCCAGCTCAGGGATGGCGTCGAGTAGTGCTAGGCACTCGTCCTCGACAGCACGTCGCGCCTTCTTCCCTACCCACGAGTCATCGCACTCCTCCCGCGCTCGTCGTCGTCTCGCCTCTTTCTCTCGGCGCGCCTCTTCACTCAGTCGGCAGTATGTGTTGTTAATGCACACTGAACGCCTTAAGTCTCGCGCGGGGTCTTCAATATTCTCTAATTTTTGTGAGCAGATCTCAATGACCCGCTTTCGTTCTTCATTAGCGCGGAGGCGCGCCGAGATCATGGAGAGCTTGGGCCTAGCGGCGGGCTCAGTGCGTGGCGGTCCAAACATGTCGTCCTCGAAGGCGTCGGCGATCTCCGCGCCGCGTGAGCTCTCGCGCTCCTCTTGCGGCGTCATTCTGTAACAAAAACGCGGACACATTAGCACATATTAGCAAAACGTAAATTTTCGTAATGATACTGGAATAAGAACAACCGAAAAGTACTGGGAAATTATATACAAAATTATGAGACAGGTATTCGACCTGTTTCAAAGATTTAAAAAATTAACGCTGAAACTCATTAATCACAAAGACAATATTATATTAAAACCGTGACGGAATGTGAACGAGTCAAGGAGAAGCCCTAATTATTTCATAATAACAAGTACTAGGTCAATCGGAGAACAATGCATCGAAGTCCGAACGGGCCAATCAGGTTCACAACTCGTTATAATCCGCTCTCCATTCGCAATCACATCAAAACTACAACAGATATTAGCGAACAGGTTTTAAAGATAAAAAGCACCTTGAAATGCATTTCGTCAACACCTACCTAAATAAATCAGGGGAAATGATGAAGAACCCTGACATAAACATGTTCGGCAATTCACTAAGACTTGATCACTTTAAAAATGGTAACTCCAATGTCACAAAGTTCAAAACACTGGCACAATACAGGCGCGCAATTCGTCACTTTGTCCTCGACGACTATAAAAAAGCAAAAAGACACAAATAAAACAAAAATAAATCGTGCGGTGAGCGGCGTGCGCGCAGCTCGACGACCACTCGGCGAATGACAACATACCTCGCTGTAGATAAGACATTGAAAAAGCCAATTGCGTCATGTACTGCTACGTACGTATGGAGAGGAAACGGATGACGTAGACCAAAGCCGTCATTTTAGACGCTGTTGCTTGCTGGTCATGACTCGACGCATAAATTTACTACTAGACAAAAGAGGCGAGTAATATTTTGTACCCAAATAATGTAAAATACGTAACCCAATTGCAATAGATCCAGTCAACGAGGAAAATACGTTTTCCTGTGCGATAAAACACTTCTATCTTGACAAAATTAATAGGCTACAAATGCTAATGTTATTGAAAAAACCCACATAGATTGCAACAATGGAATAACCGGGATAGTGAAATATTATATTGCTTAATTTGGAGTTATTTCCGAAATTGAGTATAAAGATTAAGGAAGAACATTGATTATGGAAGAATTTACATCCGAAACGAGATTGGCACAAGAAATCATCCTGCGAAATAACAAGAACGTTCAGAGGACACTTGAGGTAACAATGTTACCCTGCGACCTTTACAATTGGTTACGTTACGAACTACTAATACAAGAATACCAAAGCCTAGGGGTAAATTTCAAAGACTTGATCCGTAAAACGATGAAAGGTCTTACTTGAGTATTGAAATTATGGAATAAAAGAAGAAGAGATAATATTTAGAATCTATTTTGATTAGTATCGGGTATGATTATCCAACATTAATACAAAAATCTCTTTTTTGTGATTTTAGAAGACAATATGGAATAATATCACCCTCGCCAAATACATATAATCACTTCGGTTGTGAGAACGACGCTGTAAATTTAAAGCTTCTACGAAATCCTCTAAACAGAACTACAAAAGTGTACAAACTAACCAAGAATTCATAAAAACTGAACTAGTTCTAGTGTGAAACACGTTCGTTTGAAAACTTATTATCGAAAAGACGTTACACGCTACGTGTTTTTGCACTAAAATAGCCCTTTACCAAGAATCCTTTGAACCCAAAGCTTTTGTTTCAAAACCTGATTCATAATAAATATATGTATCTCTTATTGCGTCTTGATTATTACAACCGCCTGTATTATTTCACAGGTAGCCGCGTTATGTTGTAAAACCAAGGTTATCGGAAAACAAAAAGAGTTGTCACTACTCAATGCAATTACTTGATATTCTTCAGCATTAAAAACTAAAAGCAATCGCTTTTAGATGCTTTAGAAATTACAAAAAGAGAAAAGACAATCGATAGCTTTCGAATCAACCACAAAGGAATGTGAATACAATTATACAAATTGAACTGAATCGGAAATATTCATTACCTGTTAAAATATAAAATTCCATGTTACTCCAATACAGAGCTACGTAATGAGCGAAATATTAATTTCAGCATTAAAATGTGACGTAATATTGAGTTGAAACAGCTAATATCGATGTTGCTAACTGTTATTGCATGCACCTATCGAAAATACTATTACTTTTATATAAAGTGATGTAATAAAACTGCAGTAAACACGTTGACAGCCACTTTTGACATTTAAATATTCGGTAAACTTTTTTTGTTCAACCATAGACTGAATAGTTTATGATTTAAAACTTTTTGGACAATATCGTGGTTATCAAGTACCTTGTATCTTTTTGGATTTTATTTTTTAATCTAGTTCTGCGTACATTCCTTTTATATGATTTAACTCGATATTCACACAGGTATTTGTTTTTCCTATTGTGGATGATGGTTTAACTATAACTAGGTAGTTATAATAGTTTATGTTTCAGCCACGCTACCTATATTGATTTTTCAAGCAAGTTTTCCTTGAATTCTTACAACAAAGACAAGATTATTTTCTCTTTCAAGAAATCCGAGTGTTCTTTGTTTAACTTAACAATAACTATCATAGTGTAGAAATTCAAAATCAAATTAAAATTATAATCAAAGATTACTCAATATGCAATGTGCTACACTTGGATCGTGTTTTGTTATTTTTTCGTGGCGAATGCGCGACGACAGAGCACCGAGTGTTGCCGACCCCACCAGTTACGATCTAATAAATCTCGCCCGCGTCGACCGACGCTACTGCCTACCTGCACTTTCTTTTCTCTGTCCCACACGAGCCGGGGGCAAGAATCCACGGATATGTGAATGCCACCATAATATAGGGGACTTTTTTGTAACATTTGACATTAGTAGATGATGCGACGGCTGCTAGTTCGTCGTCTCAAACATTTAATTCAAATCTCCACAGTTTTTAGGATTTATGTAGGACAGTATAAACAATGCAGCATTTGAATAAGGTATTCGTTATCAATTCTCTTCGCTTTCAACGAATAAGTCATGTCATGACACAAGTAACATGACTGTATGGTTAACTTTATAATGTGAAAACTTTTTCTTTCCCGTTCCACGATGATTTATTTGCTTCAAAAGTTTATGTATTGCTTCATTCAAAGTGATAACATGCTCTCGTTTTTGGATCTTTGTCGTGTAAGGAAAATTCGTTGAAGTTAGAAAATATCGCTCGTGAGATCTAATTTACAACAATCTGACTTAATAGAAGGCTGGTAGGGCCTTATGGTGTAAAAGTGGTTCACTCACTTGTACTTGAAGAAAATAAAGGCGAGATTGCATTAGGAATCATTGGCAGACGTAACGAATCCCAATCCACTTCATGTAGACATCCTTCGAGGTAATAAATGTTTCTCCGACGTACTTATTTTTTGCTAAACCGCTTTGGATCACGTAGGCGTTTTGATAGAACACCTTTTATGGAGAACGTATCTATTATACGACGAATTAGTGAATGTAGGTGGTAACGTATTATTGATACGAAACAATTGTTTGACGATCTCTTGACAGAGATTTTTCTCTAATTTCCCGCATCGTTGTACGCTTTCACGTGATTCTCTGTCGTGCCCTTAATCGAAAGTTTCATTTTTGGTTTGTTCCCTTGTCTGTTGTTACATGTTAAGATCCATAAATCGTTTCGAAAATGTATCACTTTTAAAGATAACTTTTCGTTTTTATGACGTTTCTAGGAAAACATGATTCGATCAACGCTAAGTTAGTGCTGTGGTCAAATCAATTTAGATATTTGCTAACTTGCACAATAAGAGATAGGTGTGCCATATTTATGATCCTAAATAAATAATATTCATTCAATATTTTCCGTTAGCATTTGAAAAATTTCAAAAAGTCACACGTATAGGTAAATATGTTGCAATTGACGTTGATGGTCGGGATTGTCCGTCCCTGTGTGTTGCGTCACTGAGCCGTGAGTATTACATCAATTATCTTTTGTTCATTAGATAACCATTATAATTTAACTACGTCAGTATAGTTAAAATTAATTTCTGATAATTTTTAGGGGGGTAACTTATTTTTTCTTTGAGTTTTTGTCCCAAAATTTAGTTTGGTAATCTTACATCACATTATTTGACAGTGTTACCAGTAACACGATTCAATGTTGCACATCGAATAATTTTTTCTATAGAAGTGGGTGAATCATATTTTTGAAACAATTACCCACACAAAGCCATGTTGGCTTATGTAAGTAATGACCTCACAATGGGTTCTACCTTTCTAGGTCGCAAGTAACGAATAATTAATTCTGTTCTTACTATAAGAAGGGACCTATTGTAGAACAACTTCGAACTTCCTTTGCAAGATTTTTTACTTTTTATCCATACTTTAACAAGATCGTTTCGGTTTACTCGTTGTACGGAAATTATTCAAGCATTTTATCAACAGAGTTAAGTCTTGTTTCCTCTTTAACGTTTATAGACGTGGCATCTGTTTGTAAGATCATGTTTAGTTAAACAAAATTTGGAAATGGTATATTACTACATGTTTGTGAGCGTAATGGTATATTACTGTAGAATCTAAACATGTTCTAAGGTGATACAAAACATCATTACCAGTTATGGAAGTTACCCTTTTGCGACGTATCATGAGAATTGTTTGAACAAGTTATTACTATGCGTCATTACCGTGAAGTCATGCTAAATGGAATCGTTGCAAAAATTTCCCCATTCAAATAAGCACGGTGACATTGATATTTGAACATAAACAACCTGATCATATGCTTACTCCAAAGAATAGCCTTTACAATACTGGAGAAGTATTTGAGACGTACAAAGGAAGCCGTAAAAGCCTAATACCGAGTAATTTAGCATGTGAGGTAGTCAAAATCTGTAATGTAATATAGTTTGCGTGTTTAAATCGAGCGCCATATAACGTTGATAGCCCACAGCAGACAATGGATGCGACTCACTGCGCATAAATCACGGATAATGGCTACGTAGTTGACGCGGTTTTTAAACTTATTGACTCTGTTATAGATACGTTTACGGACATTGTTGTTGTTGGATTTTAAGGGGAATGTGGCGCAGTTACTTTTGATAATCGAAATCTATATTTTTACATTATGTGTATAAAGTAAGCATTAACTTTTCTAAATGTGTGTTCGAAGTAAGTTTGTATAAAAGTTTTCCTCCGATACCAAACAATCACAAGCTGAACATAAAATACTTAGTTCACAAGTTATTTAAGCTCTATTTTTCCAGTTTACTAACAGAAGTAGTGGAGCTCTTGGCACGTTTCCCACGTCAGTAAAGTTTATAATATTCTATGTAAGAGACGCCGATGTAGTGCTGTCCCTTTTTGACGCAACACCTGCAAATGATCGTGATCTACATAAAATTTAGAGATTAGTAGAAAATTTGAGGAAATTTAATTTCCGAGTACCTACGAAAAAGTAAATAAAGGATGAACGTTATTGGAAATTTCATAATTCGACGAAACTTATGATTCATATTGATGATGGTTCAACAGAAAATGTTAATTTTCATAGATCCATTAAAAATAAATATGCATTTGGTAATGGACGAACAACATATTCATCAACAAACATCACTGATTGAGTTAAATTGTATGTAAAATCGACATAATTAACACGCGTCAAAAATAATTTAAGAGAAAACAAAAGTGAAATGGGTGTAAAGCTTGATACAAGAGAAACAAATATCCTCATTGGTGATTGCCTTCAAGGTGAAGACAAAAACGGTAATATAAATGGTACGTGTGAAAAAATAAATGAAAAGCATGTTGAGGAAGCCAAAGAAATAAGCAGCGTGGCGTTTCTGCTTATACCAAAACAGACAGACACGATAATAAAATAAAAATACAGATAACTTATAAAGAATAATAGTTATTCAAAAAGATAAGATGTTTCATAAAACTTGTTCGGGCCGCTTTGTGAACAAACTTGGGTGGGGTCAAGTAATGATTTGATTAACTTATGTTCTGTAGATAATTTTATTTGTTAAATGTAATCAAATGCACGACAAAGACGTTAAATTGCAGAGATTGATTAATATTTTGTAGTATTAAATTTGAAGTTATTAAGTAATGTTATGTAGGTAGTTGATGACTGTACTCGTGGTGAATTTTATGATGGAGCATATGTAGGTGTACCTATATAAGATTTTATAGTACAGATGGGTACAGTTCAGTCGAAAATATTAAACTTTTTGACGGTGAGTTGTGTTCTACAACTTCTTTGTTTACTCATTTCTTCTTTGAGATTTTTTAAAACATTACTTTTAGTTTGAACTAAATAAACACCATTAAGTAAGTACCTTATGAAATTAAAGTATATGGTAATAAAAAAATACCAATACTTGCACTCGATTATAAAAAATGCAACGATTAAACAAACGATAAGTACCTATATGGAACATAAATTCCAAATCAAAATTTAACAAATAATATCAAGTCACGAAACCCTATTCTGAAAATCTCGGTAGTAGAATTCGAATACCGTTTGTCACGCTCTTACAGAGGGAGAGAGATAGCGATACCCGATCGTCGAACAAAAGGACCCTTAGAAAATAAATTATACCACAATAATCCACTCGCAGAAACGAGCACGCAAATGCATCTATAAACTTTTTCTCCCTTAATTAAGCAAAGTGAAGCGTCAAAAAGTCGATAACTGTTATTATTGAATAGATAAGTTTTATTATTTTATTTACACACAGTACCGCCCGGCACGCACACAGCGTAATGATATAGCGCATCGGTACATTACTGTTACACGATAAGATACTTTTTATAAACATCACTTTCCTTTGTCTATCCTATCTCTTTCATTCCAAATATGTATCAAAATTCTTTCATCTTTATTTATTTAATCTTCTTGGCTTTTTTCTAGCTTCTGTTTACTATTTTCTTTAACTATATTAAATATAGTTTCGA